GTTATTTTGACAAGTGAAAATTATTTACTGAAAGTGACTTTGTTTCACTTACAACATGTGAGATTTTTGTAACAAACGCTCAGTGATATCTGCCTGCAAATAAATGATCAAACATATYTTTTTTTCGRCRATAAAGCAAAATATCCATGACAAACCCATCTTTTCTAAAAAAGAACTTTCCAAAATATGTACAGTATTCAGAGATGGGTTTTGTCATTTTGTCAGTTGTATAAGATTAAGTTAATCCAGTTGTAATAACGTAAATAGAAAGGGTGGTGAAAGGTGTACCTCCATTAACCGCACAAGTTCATATTGCGCCTTGGTAAAAATGATTATAATTTTTTTTAGTTTCGTGGTATATTATTCTAAACATTTTTGTTCGTTTGAATCTTGAATTCTTTCTTAGAAAACATAAATTAATATGAACTGGTTTCGGAGTCAAAAGGACCATTCACCACAACTAATTACAAACATTCACCATAACGAATTATCTTTCACTTTATATTAGATAGTCTTTCATTCAAGTGCAACTAAAATGAAATGAATTAAAAACGTCGGCAACTCAAATATTTGTGATAAATCTATGCATAGCATTTTTAAAGAGAAAAGATTTGTTTTGGAGTCATCACAATAAAGCAGAAACATTTTGGCTCAAAAGAAGAAAAACGAAAGGATTGAGTACATGAATGACGCCATGTACTCCATCACTTTTAGCCAAAGTTCTTAGGAATTTGCATCAATATCCTATGAAAATATGCTGCTTCGTAACTATTAGACGTATATCGATATGTGAACTTCAAATAGTCCTGACTTTTCAAATAATATTTGTTAATTGTTGCTTTTCAATAAACTTTTTCCGTATCTTTGATTTTGTAAGAGGAGTGTTCTCTCTATATTACATTATATAACCATTTTAAAACTACTCATGTTCTAAGGCTACAAAACGAGGATTCCTATAAAGGTTTTCAAATGCCCTGCCATTTCATATCTAATAAGCCTCACTCCCTTGCATGCCTTTCAATCCAGTCAGTAGCTCCAAGAGTCTTGAGCTTGCTCCAGGCTTACTGTGTACAGCTTAAGCTTTGTTCTCATCGTAAATTTTCATAGCTTTGATGCTCTTTCTCATTTTATTTCGATGCCCTATTAGCTGAATTCCTAATCCTTTCAAGTCGTCTTCTTCAAGGGACTTCACTTGGTCAAGGTTTACATATCCGGCTTGTTTAAAAAGATCTGCGTATTTGTCCATTTTGATTTGGGTCAGCCAATCCTCTACTGACTTCACTTCTCCAAAGTTAGCTTCTCCATTTCTGTAAAAACCATGCATGATATACCAATATTATTGCATTTGACAAGTGTTTTAGTAATTTTGAATTTTAAGAAATGGGCATTGGGCATTGGGAACTGGGCATTGTCAAGAGGAAACGATTACTTTTCACGTTATTTATTATAATCTCTTTAAATCAACAGAACTTCTTTTCCTCACTTGTAAACTTCCTACAATTGGTGGATTTAGATATTTTGGTCCAGTGAACATGTACAAAAAAATTTACAGAAATAAAAGAATACAGATTATCCATCGTTTCCCTGCAGTCTCGTCTGCATTACTTTTGTATATACTGGAGAACCAAAATATCTAAAGTCGATTTTATTCATTGTGTACACTATTTCTCAATATATTGTGGTGATACAAATTTTATTGTCGATGGCAAGGTATACTTACGTTGAAAATCGTGAAGCTGGCTGATCACTGATCTTYTCYGGTGATCGTATAAGTTCATCAAGCTGCTTCACGATGTCTGAAAACTTGGGTCTGTTGTTCTTGTCTTTTTCCCAACAATCCAGCATGATGTTATGAATTGTCTTTGGGCAATTCTGTAAAACGCAGAAAAAAGTTATTTTGATGCAAAAACACTTCCTTCCAAATATTAAGCTTCTATTTAAAGATCACTAGCTGGTACGATTGCCAACAGATACACGTTACTTCCTTAGAGTTACAGGTTATGTTTGGAATATCATAATGCTAATTTAGTGGGGGATGATTTAATTGCAGGTAATTTTTCTGGTTATCTCTATGAAACAGCATTTCCAAATAAGAAATTCTAGGTCATAATTCCTTAGAAGCACAAGAAAACCTCAAAAAAGTACATCACAAAACAGCTTGGTAAAAACATGGGCAATAACAAACTTAGGATTACAAGATACTTACCATTGGGGCAGGAAGACGATATCCTTGATCAACTCTGCCCATGACCTTTAGAAATACAAAAGGAACCATTTGTGAAAATAGCTATGATTGTGGAACAACTAAATAGATCTGTAGAGGGTAAACCTAATGATGAGGAAATCGACTTGTTGAACCATGATGACACAAAAAAGGAAATCCATTTAGTGATTCAATACAATTGCCCTGTCGCATAATGACGTTACAGTTTGTTTACTGTGGGAATAGATGCTCAGAAGCAAAAGAAATATTGACCTATTAATATTATCTCTTAAAGTACTCCAATTTATCTAGGTTTGATATATGACATTTATCAATGATTTCTCATGTTACTTTTCTTTGATATGCGGTCACTCTGCCCCTTCTGGCGACCATAACATCCTTAGCTTTAAAACAATAGAATATTTTGKTGTGCCGTAATTATKCCATAGACAATTATAAGTCTGGTTTTATACGATTAATGAACGTGACATGAAGCTTATGTGTAGAAAATAACTAAACCATTAGATAATACTCACCTCAAAGTTATCCCATTCCCAATAAGGTCTTTCTCCAAATGACATGATCTCCCAAACTARAATCCCATAACTCCAAACATCACTAGCAGAGCTGAACTTACGGTATCGAATAGCTTCCGGTGCTGTCCAACGAATGGGAATCTTACCACCCTAAAAATCAAAAGACAAGTGAAGTTTGCGAAATGTCTAGGTTTTAAAGAGGTGAGAAAAAAGAGATCTATTTTTACCTGCGTCTGATATTCGGAGTCAGGATTGTCCTCCAACTCACGTGACAAACCAAAATCRGATATTTTACTTGCCATGTTATCCGCTACGAGGATATTACGGGCTGCCAGATCCTGCAGATAAACGAGCATATGGTAGAGGATCATGAGTGAAATTAGTTTCTTTGAGGGTTTATTAGTTTATCAGATTTCACATTAGTAAAATTGTATTTTCTTTTTTTGTTTGCTCGGCGATGGTCGAGATTTTTCTTGCTTCGCTGACTGCTAGTTTGTCTGTCCAGTTCAATATTATATATAAATGCTTTTCATCGGACTAAGTTATTCCTTAATTAATCAGCTCCTATCAGAAACAGGCACAGACTTTGGGTTTCCAGACCTTGGGTGTGTTCATCCTTAAACTCTGCCCGTCCAATAATCAAGCGTTGGACTCGACAACATGCAAGTTACAAAGAATGGCAACACAAACAAATCTTACTCTGTGTATGAAGTTCATTTCAGACAAATATTCCATTCCACTGGCCACGCCTCTGCATATGCCAACTTGTTGCAGTACACTTAGCTTTCCATCAAGCTTCTAAATGCAAGGAAGTCATAGTCTATTGTAAGTATCAGTGTCGAAATATAATAGTACGCATCGCGCACATAGTATGATTTTGGACACAAATGTTTTGGGTGAGGCCGCAGCTCCCAAGAACATTGCTAGCAATACTCCAGTTTCGAATTCTCTTTTGTGCAAGCTTAGCTTCAATCAAGCATAAATTGTTTATTGTCTTCTTTGTACACAGAGTGTTTGCATTACAATAGGATCTCTGCCTAATAAAAKAATTTATTGCATGCTTTCGAGGTTAAGGCTGCACAAATAAGATCTCGAAACTGGAGTATTGGTTTGCTAATACCAGAGTGAAACTAAAAAACGAAGCATAAACAATAGAGCCTTTGTTCTAGCCAGCCAATAGAGATGCCTTTTATTAAGAGCTGCAAGTCAATAGGTTTTTTTTCCTGTCCTGTTTATATTACCTTCAAGAAATGATCAAGTGATCCATTCTCCATAAATTCTGTTACTATCATCATGGGGTGATCAGGACTGCGTGTTACCACGCCCTTCAGTTCAATGACGTTGGGATGTTTGAACTGTCCCATGATCGATGCTTCAAGAATAAAGTCCTCTTTATTTTTGGTAGATGATCCAGGCTATTGTATTTCATAAATTAAAATTATGTTTAAGCGGGTCACGTGAACAAATCAATTATGCAAAAATCAATGTTCATATTTTGCCAGCAATATTTCTGCTGTTTGCGTACGGCATAGATGTGMATTGGGGAATGCAAATTGCATTTATTGTCACATCATATCACAAGAATTAGATTGAAATTTATAATTTGAAAACAACCAAAAGCAAGAGAAAAAATTGTGATGGAAACACAACATGCAAATGAATTACCTTCAATATCTTCACTGCAACAATTTCTGAAATGGAGGTCTTTGAAAGAGTACCCTTATATACATCTGCAAATTCACCTGAACAAAGCAAAATAAAAAAAAGTCAGGAGTAGAGGGAAAACGGTCACATGGCCATAATGGTAGTCACGCAATATGATTTGTTTTTGTCATGTGATAGCGCATTTACCTCCACCAATATTTTTATCCAGCTTCAGGTCGCGGGAATCGATCTCCACCGCATTGCACATAAGTGCCTCCATCGGGCTACCATAGGTGGAAGGGTCAATGTACATTTTGTGGCCGTCCAAAGGAATGAATTCTGAATCTACAAGCAAGAATAAAGATTCCAAAATGTTCAAGAAAAGTCAGTAAACGAATGTAAAATACTGCAAGCTTAATGCAACAAAGATGTAAATATCGCGTTAAGAATGAAATCATGATCACATCAATTTCCAGTTAAGACTAGCTAAACGAGACTGGACATTCAATTTCCGCTAAAACTTAAAACTTAAAGCTTCATAGTCTTCATTTTAAGTACCAGCCCGGTTCTGCGAGGGTTCATCCCTCAAGAGCACCAGGCCGTTTTCATGTGGTTAATTAGTGGGACTGACGCCATCGTAACTGCTAGTCCCAACGGAAAGGACATTTTGTGTGATTGCTATAGTTCTAAGCACATTTACGACCCCCGAATCTAGAAGGTCCTTATTGATTCATTCGTCAGACTTCTACAGATACGTTTTTCGTTCCATGTTGATGCCAAACATCTTTCTTAGTTTAAAGAGGCACATATATCGACATTTTGATCAAAACAGCTACCTATCTACTTACTTGCAAGATGGAGCTTGCTGTCTGACCGTCTCTTTCTATAATTTACAAATGGAACGTGACTTTTAGAACTAACAGTTTCGTACTACAAATAATGGCAAATTCTACTATCATGTCACACTATATTACTTACTTCTTTTTTC